TAAGGTTTTAAGAGTCTCTTAACGTTTTCCATTTCATTCATTTTTTCAATAATCCCTGATTGAAGCTTTATACTTTTATATTTAATTTTTTGGTTTTATTTATTTATTATTTCTATAGAGTTTTTAATAGAGGTTCATTTCATGAATTTGAATAAATTGGAGTCAATTTGATGAACAACAATGTTTAACAAATAAAAATGAACCTCTACGAGGTAATATATATGTAGTTTTTTTTTTCTTGTACCATATAATTGTTTTTCTCTTTTTTTGAGCGTAATTCTCTTTTTATTTGTCTTGGATGCCATTGAAACGGTGAAATATTCTTTTTAATAGTAATTATTACTAGTAGAAAAATTTTATTTAGTAATTTCAATCTTAAGCCAAAGGTTATAAATGGAAAATTAATTGGCATTTTCTCTTTCTCAGAATAATCAATAACTAAAGATGGTTTAAATGTTGAACACTTGTTGGATTAAAAACATGAAAAGATCTCAATATGTTAGAGTTACCTTAAAATTAATTTTTGAAAAACCATAACTCTTTTTTAAGTGGTAAAGTTGATGTTACATTAGACTCATAATCAAAATTAGAAGAGTAAATTATAAATTAGCCCCTCTTGTTTGAAAAAAACGAATTAATTATTTTTTTTAAAACTAATCATTTAGTCCCTTACGTTTTATTTTGTCTATAATTTAATTATTTTATAAGTTTTTTTGTTCTCAAATTATTCTTTTTTTTAAATTTTTAATTGAGGAGAGAAAAAAATAGTGGGTGAAAGAGAGAAATAAAACATTAAAAGGAGGATAATTTAGAAAAAAATTATTAATCTAACGAAGAATCGATAAAAACACTAAATTATTAATGAAATTAAAACATAAAAAAAGAAAATGATTAGTTTTTTTTTTATTTAAAAAAACTACTTAATTGGTTTCTCAAAACGTCAAGGACTAATTTTTAATTCTCTCAGTCTCAATCTAGAAAGAATCTCAGCAAAAACTTGAAAAAATTAAAATAAAAAACAAGTGGGTCCCATGGCCACACATTCACAGTGAAGCAAGGCACAAAGCTGAAAACCCTTCGAAAATGGATTGGCAACTAGCTGCTTTCATGAAGCAAAGGAAAAGCCATGGCCCACTTGGCAACCAACCTCTCATTACTCTAACCTGCAAGGTTCCAAAGGCAAAAGATTTGAAGAAAAGAAAAGAAAACCAAAACTTGAATGTGATTACAAGTTGCTAAGTATTTGCTAATCAAACAAAGCATAAATAGTTACCAATATTTTTTTTTAATCTTTTATAGCATAATGACATTTATTTCTTACTTTTGAATACATAATCTAATTTTTTTATATATATTTTATTAAATTCTATAGCCTGCTGCGGCCAACCTCTAGTAACCCCACTTCCTCTGCTACTTTCATGGCTACCTGACCCATTTTATATAAAAAGCCTTAGATCTTGAACTTGTACTATTTGCTTAAAAAAAGATGAGTTCTTTGCAGAACTGGGAAATGGGGTTGTGCTTGCTGGCGTGTATCATTAGCTGCAGCTTCATTTCTGTGAGTTCACAAAGTGCTGTACCTGGAAATGATGATAGCAGTGTTATTGAAGGAACTGTTTTCATAGATGGAAAAACTTCCATTGGAAAGACCGATGAAGATTTCATTTGTGCCACCTTGGATTGGTGGCCACCTGAGAAATGTGATTATGGGACATGCAGCTGGGAACATGCTTCTCTCATTAATCTGGTAATGATCCATTTTAGTCTGCGTTTCTGCTTTTTTTGAGGTTGTTTTAGATATCTGATTATGATGTTTGATTACTGCAACTGAGCTTGAAATGCTTGTCCTTTCCTGTCCTGTACTTCTCAAAACTTCATTGGCATTTTACTATTGTATATATAGTTGTTTTGTTAAGTTTTTTAGGAAGTTGTTCTCTAAATTTATGTTCTTTTTGTTATAATTTCTCTTATGCAGGATCTTAACAACAACATCTTGTTAAATGCCATAAAGGGTAAGAGCCCTTTGAAGCAAAGCAACCTTTTCTTCTGCAATTTAATGTATTTTTGCTACCAAGAACTCTTTTCAGTGTTTTTTAGAGTCCTAACTACCCCTTTTTTTTTTTGGTATAATGGTCCAGCTTTTTCACCATTAAAAATCAGATTAGGAGGGACTTTGCAAGATAAGGTCATTTATGACACTGAAGACAATAAGCAACCTTGTATCCAATTTGTTAAAAACACCAGTGAGATGTTTGGTTTCACGCAGGGTTGCTTACCCATGTATAGATGGGATGAACTGAATGCCTTTTTCAAGAAATCTGGGTAACAATTAACAACAATGTTCTCTTCTGTTTCTTGTTAACCTTACTTTACAATTTCTAGGAGTTGAACCACCTCTTTTGCAAATTCAGGGCAGAGATTATATTTGGGTTAAATGCTCTTGCTGGCCGGTCCATAAGATCTGATGGTTCTGCAGTAGGAGCTTGGAACTACACCAATGCAGCATCGTTTATAAGCTACACTGTAAAGAAGAACTACTCTATTTCTGGCTGGGAGCTCGGTAAGAACATTCTCCTATGCTTTCTCATCCTTGATGCTAATGCTTAATGTTGCATGATATCCACAGAAGCATCATTGATTTATTGACCATATCGGAAGTGGGAACTGACCATGATCAGTTTATATTACTCATATTAATTTATCTAAACCAACAGTAAGTCTTTTTTGCTGATCAGGAAATGAATTGTGTGGGAGTGGTGTTGGAACAAGAATTGCAGCAGCTCAGTATGCTTCCGATACAATTTCCCTGTATAACATAGTGAAAAAGATTTACAGCAGTATTGAACCGAAACCACTAGTTATAGCACCTGGAGGATTCTTTGATGCAAAGTGGTTCAAAGAGTTTGCAGATAAAACAGGCGATTTTGTAAATGCGATCACCCATCACATATACAATCTTGGTCCAGGTATCTCTTTGAAGAAAATGGACTTCTGTAGTCTCACACCTTGGATAATAGGTCTTCACTTGACATGTTTTTGTCCTTTTTTTTTTTTTCCTTTTGCGTAGGAGTTGATACACATCTCATCGAAAAGATCCTCGATCCATCCTATCTCGACGGTGAGTCTAAGACTTTCGATAGCCTCCGAAGCACCCTCAAGAGTTCTGCAACTTCAGCAGGTGCATGGGTTGGTGAATCAGGAGGGGCTTACAACAGTGGCCGTAACCATGTAACCAATGCATTCGTATTTAGTTTCTGGTAAGTAAGGTCAAAATTTATAACAAAAATCTTCTGCTTTTCTGTCGTGGATTTCTAAGTGCAGGGGTGTTGTCAAAACAGGTATTTGGATCAGCTTGGGATGGCATCATCTTATGATACAAAAACTTACTGCAGACAGTCATTGATTGGTGGCAATTATGGTTTACTCAACACTACTACCTTTGTTCCATATCCAGATTACTACAGGTATAGAATACTGGTGTTCTGATACCGGCTGGTGCTCCGAAAAATTAGCTAGTTGGATAGAAATCAAACAGTGCAGTGAATTATATATTCATTATCATGAGTCGACAAATTCTTGAGAAATTCCTCTATCTGAAAAAAAAAGAGGATTAAGGTTTAAAATAGGCAGCAGATTAAATTAGCTATAATTTTACAGAAGGAAGGCATCTATGCTTGTTATGAATATAATTTGATCAACCCATTTGGCTTGTTACCAAGATGAAATGTCTTAATTCCCACTCTGCAATCTCTCTTATAGCTCTGTCTTATCAAGGTATAAGAAAATCTAATGTTTTATGTGCTTTTGATGTAGTGCTCTTCTTTGGCATCGATTAATGGGAAGAAGCGTTCTATCTACCAGCTTTTCTGGAACGAAAAAGATACGCGCTTATGCTCATTGTGCAAAACAATCTGTAAGTTAATTCTACACTATAATCATCACAAAAGTCAAGACCTTTGTGATCTAATTGGATTCTTGATGATCCTGCAGAAAGGGATCACCTTACTACTAATCAACCTTGACAGTAGCACAACTGTTGAAGTCAACGTAGCATTCAACAGTACTCGGAGATTGCACCAAAAACACAAGTCTCACCAGCTCCACAGTTCACACCGGCCTCAGAGGTTCCATAAATCAAAGGTCGTTCAGCTACCTCAAGGGTCCACAAGCGGGATAACAAGAGAGGAATACCATCTAACAGCAAAAGATGGAGATTTACACAGTCAAACTGTGCTACTTAATGGGAACATTTTAACTGTAGATTCATCTGGGGACATACCTTCGTTAGAGCCTCTGCTTGTAAATTCATCAAAGCCGATAACGGTTGCTCCTTACTCTATTGTATTCGTTCAAATGCCATATGATCTCCCTGCTTGCAGCTAGGTAGCAACACTACATTGAACTGAAACTGGTTCCATGTAGTGAATAGTGATTCATCAAATAAGACAGAATATAAGCATATGTTACATTCTTTCTTGGCGAAGAATACAAAGAAAGTTGTTTTTTGTAAATTATTATGTTATAGTTTTTTTTTAACCAGTGCCCATGTAATTGAGCAGAATACAAAAAATTATTTACTGCAATGTGGCACCTGGTCCCACAATGAACTGCCTTGGGACATTTCCTTTGCTGCATCATGTAGCAGAGAGAAATATTGGGGTAACTAAGTTCTTGAGCTTTAAAGGCATAACATAAAATGCAGGCCCTGAAGGCTAAAACACGGTTATATGACAAGCATGTTAAATACATGCTTTTGGTGGCCAACAAAAACCACAAAGTCAACTATGCATTATGTTCAGTAGATTACACTTAGAATCAACATACATGTGCTATTTTCTATGTGTAAAGAATATAAAAATGAAGAAGCTAACTATTGGTAGATGAGGCACTTTCCACAAAACGGTATGGAAAAAGTGAAAGTCAAATGAATAACATATTTATTGGTATGTTCTCTAATTTGGATGCTTCATTCAGGAAAACTAATCCAAAGACAATCAAAGTCAATCTGCGTTGGAGAAGTTTTGAGGCTTGCTGCTGGCAAATGCCAACCATACAATCGTACCAGTCAAGTAGAAGAAAATTGATGGTGCGAATAAGGAAATCTGCATAGTACGAATACCAGGAAAAAATAGTTAAAGGGAAAAGCTAATAACAGCCTGTCCAAAGATTATATACATGAAAATTAAGAGGTAGAGGCAACTTACACTCCAAGAATGAGTTGTATCGAGAAGATAACCAGTCAAGGCAACACCTACAATTCCAGGTACTGCTCCAACAGTGTTGGTAATGCCCTACATAGGAAAATTGAAAAGAAAAAAAAAGATTAATATGGTTAAAAGAAAGTTATTTTTTTCCTTTACAAATTCAAGCATAGGCCTTAACATGGTGGCAAGCTTACAGGACTCGATTGATCATAGATCGTAATGAATAAATTATTTGCTCCACTTGGAGTTAAAATTAGAAACACTAGAAAGTCTAGTCTAGTAGAACTGCCAGTAAAATACAATTTGCATAAAAGCCATTTTCTTATTGGTTTTTTTGTACTTGTAACCAGCAAGTTTGCAATTCTTCTGTATTTTCTTAAACCTATTAATAAGAATATGATCCTACTCATCAAAAAAAAAAAAAAAAAGAAGAAGAAGAAAAGGGGAGCCTGAAAAATCTACAGGCAGACCTCAACAGTGGTAGGAGCTACATCCATGGAAAAAATGGTCATATTAGATCATTGGAATGCTAGTCTCATGATCCTGGAACAATAAGATGACAGGTCCACGAGCAAAACCACTCAAGGCAATGAATCAACATAGGTTTTTTTTTTTTTTTTTGGTACTTTCCACTTTCACACAAGAAAAACCAACTTCACTTTGCAAGAGGTATATTATTGGATACATGGGTTCTACAGATCCAAGCATAAACTAATGATGCACATAATTCAGGAACAATGTGCTTAGTTGATTTGAAGTCAAGTAAGGAATGTGTGAAGAACAAGTATCCATGCTCATGACACCCAAGCTCAATCTTTATGACACCTATGATCAATCTTTACAGGAGGCTGATCAGAAAATGCATAGCATATACAAAAAAAATTAGGATTTGTAGGCCTACATACCAACAGTATACTTGCATATTCAGGAGACACATCTTGATGCGTACAGTAAAGCCCTGCAAAAAAGAGAGATCATTGAATTAGATGTCAACCCAGCACAAAATCTGTTCCTATACATCAAACTAGTAAAAAAAAAAAAAAAGTTCTTAAGTAATTCACTACCGGACAAGGCAAAGCTTGAGAGAGCCAGGCCACCAGTGAGAATCCCCACAATCTCCCAGGGCGGCAATCCTAGATCTACAGAGGAGAGAGTCATGCAAAGAGCAGGAGACAAAAAGGCAATTGTTTGGCAAATCTTTCGCACCTGCAAGGTCAAAAGGTCAAAACTTGATGTATTGAAGAGTTTCTGGCAAGATGATGATTATAAGCGTATAGAAAACTATAATAGATGTCTGGTTTTACAGACCGTTGTGGTTTCAACTCCATTCGAAATTAAGCTGTCAGCGAGCTGTGAGGCAAAGGTAGTCACAAAAACTGAAGCCAAGGGAGGAAGGATGGAAACCTGAAATGGTTGATAGTTATTTCATAGGAAAATAAATGTTCAATTCTTTTTAATTGCAATTAGAAAATCAAATAAATGATGGCTATGCGATGTTCAGGCTTGCTAGAATGGCATGGCATTCCCGAGTTCGTTAAGTGTTATCATCAATCTTCAATGGTATTACAGGTAAAGTTCTCAATTAATTTAGGATAAATATTCATACTGTAATCACTTTCAGAGTACAACATTTGGCCAAATTACTGCAAGGAAGATTAATCCTTATCAGATAAAAAGCATGCCGTCTTGGTATGGGTACAATAATAAACTAAAGCTTCTGGTATATTATTGTACCTGCCTTTCCCTGTAACAGTGTTGGCATCAAAAGCTGCATGCAGATGGATGATTTCGAACTTGATATATTTCAATTACATGGTATATAAGATACCAATACCAACGGCAGAGATGTTGAAAAATGCAATTTCTTGTGCTTTTTTCTTTGGGGAATGCAATACTTCCTAATTCATTTCAAGATGTGAAAATTTAATTTATGTCAAACTTTAAGCTACAGCATTCTTCCTAATGTTTACAATTTAAGTACTATATATGACTAAGGTATGAGAAAGACTAAAATTTATAAAACAATCATACAATTTCAAACTTACCCACGCAGCTTCTGACAAATTCAGGCTCAGCTCCTCACTGCATGGCATATCCATTGGAAGTGTCAAGATGTAGATTAGCTATAAATATGATTATTATTATTATTATTATTATCTCGCTAGATATTAGGAGTGTTAACGTTATCCCTTAATTTGAGAGACTCTAGTTATGATTATCTCTATCCCTAGATTAGGTAGTTTTCTACTTTGACTCTAGGACTTATTGTATATATATTCTGATGCATTGTAACCTATGTAAGAGTGAATATATACTTTTTCCTCTCAATTTTCTTCAACATGGTATCGAGCCTTAGGGTTTTTTGCTGAAATTCTGCCACTGTACAGCCTTCATTGCTGTCAGTTTTCTTCAGTTTTTTTCCACAACCTTAATTGCTGTAATTTTTCCATAGTTTTTTGTTTCTAAACCTTTTGTTCCTTCACTATGTCTACAACCAAAACTTCCATCTCGGAGGACGTAAATTCTGTCCAAAAACCTAGTGAGTTACAAAACACTAGGGCCTCCTATCGACTCAATGGAAAAAACTATCCGAAGTGGTCTCAATTCATTCGTACATACCTAAAGGGTAAAGGAAGACTTAGCCATATCACAGGAAAGGGACCAGAAAAGAAAGACCCGAGCATTTGAAGCATGGGATGAAGAGGATTCAATGATTATGTCATGGCTTTGGGACTCGATGGATCCTACCATTAGTGACACGTGCATGTTTTGCAAAGGAGATTTGAGAGTTCATCCGGCGTACCTACTCAAAGGATCGTGACGTGGCCAGAATTTATGAGGTAAAAATCAAAACTGGGGCAACAAAACAAGGAGATAAAACTGTTACGGAATTTGCCAATATCCTGCAGAATTTATGGTAGGAACTTAATCATTATCGCGTATTTGAGATGAAGTGTGCGAGAGGATGCTGCAATCCTAAAGAATTTTATTTAGAAAGATCGGATGTATGATTTTTTGGCTGGTTTGAACCCGAATTTGACTAGGTAAGAGCCTAGATTATTGGCAAAGAAGAGATGCCATCATTGAAAGAGAAAATTTCGTTGATTAGAGCCGAGGAAAGTAGAAGAAACATTATGCTCGAAGTCCTAACAACGAAGGGTCCGCACTAGCAACAAAAGGAGATCAACAGGAGAGAGGGAGGACCGACAAATATCCTCGGCTGAAGGATAACGAGACAACATGTGGTGTACATATTGTAAGAAGTCGAAACATATCAAAGAAAGATGCTGAAAATTAAATAGTAAACCACCAAGTCATGAGTGAGGAAACCGTGAAGGGCAACTAAGGTTCTAGCAAAGATCTCAACATCAAGCTCACTCAGCAGAACAAGTCAATGAGGAAGTAAAGACGGATAATGGCGGATCCAATAGTGTGGAGATAAAAAAGCTGAAAAACTTGTTAGGTTCCCTTGAAAAACCATCTAAGGCTTGTTCATTGGCTCTCTCGGGTAAGTCTTCATTCTCCACTTGCATGTATGTCTCGGATACAACCTATACCAATTCATGGATAATTGATTCGGAGCCACGGACCACATGACTCATTCATCACAATTTGTCCATATCTATAACCACTCGCCCAAGTAATAGGAAGATCATAATGGCAAATGGATCCTTGGCTACTCGTTGTAGGTGTAGAAAACATCATGGTTACACCTACTCTCACTCTTAAAAATGTACTCCATGTGCCAAAATTATCAACCAACCTAGTGTCAATAAAAAAACTTATTTATGATCTTAAATGCTTTGCAATTTTTTCTCCTTACTCGTGTTTTGTAGGATCAACGCTCGGGGAGGAAGATTGGACTTGCTAAGGAAAGGAATGGCCTCTATCACCTTGATTCTTCTCGCAGTATTATAAATAATTTGTGTGTCCTTGTTTAGTTCTTCTAATAAAGAGACCATTTAGCTCTATCACCTTCGTCTTGGTCATCCTACGTTTAGTCCTTAAATTCATGTTTCCTAACTTGTTCAAAGGATTAGACATTTCAGATTTTCATTATGAAATTTGTCAATTGGCAAAACACACGTATATCTTTTTCTATCAATAATCAAAGAAGTTCTAAACCTTTTCATTTGATCCATAGTGACATATGGGGCCCTTCTCCTGTTTCGAATATCTTAGGTGCTAGATGGTTTGTTACCTTGATAGATGATTGTACTCGAGTTACTTGGCTTTATTTACTCAAACAAAAATCCGATGTTAGCATCGTTATCCCAACTTTTCTTTCTATGATTCACAATCAATTTGGGGTCAAAATTAAGAATTTTAGGTCAGAAAATGCTAGAGACTACAACCACACATTGACTCCATATTTTCAACAACATGGAATCATTCATGACTCCTCTTGTGTTGACACACCCCAACAAAATAGGGTGGCTGAATGCAAAAATGGGCACTTACTCAATGTGGCTAGGGTCTTACTTTTTCGGGGAAATGTTCCAAAATCTTATTGGGAGGAGGTCGTCCTCATAGCCACTCATATGATCAATAGACTGCCCTCTCAAGTTTTATCCCATAAAAGTCCCATGGAGGTCCTCAATACCTTTTATCTAGAGTTTCGAAGTTCAAGGACTCATTTCTAGGGTATTTGGTTACACGACCTTTGTTCACATTCACAGTCATCAAAAAGGAAAGTTAGATCCCCGAGCACACAAGTGTGTTTTTCTTGGTTATTCTTCTACACAAAAAGGTTACAAGTGCTATAATCCTCTCACTATAAAATTTTATGTTTCAGCTAATGTTACTTTCACGGAAAACCAACCACACTTCAAAAAGTCCTATCTTCGAGGGGAGACTACATCCCTACTAGAAGATAGTACTTTTGATAGTACTTGTACTCTTGATCTTCCTAATCGTCCAGGTAGAGTTAGTTCCATCTCTCGGTTCTTGGTCCTCCATTAGAGTCCGTTCCTAATCTAAAACAGAGTCCATCATCAATTCCTAATCCTGCAGAATCTAATCTAGATCCAACCTAGGTTCCATAATGATTCGAGATTTTCACGGTATATACTAGAAGGACTGTTCCGGACACTGCAACAAGTTCAAGAATCCTACCCGGACGCTAACAAGAACCCCATGGTAAGATCCGATCCAACCTTAAGAACACGATCAGTAGAACCACTCGGTGACCTTCCTATAGCTATCAGAAAAGGCACTAGAGAATGCACCAAAAGACCCACGTACCCATCGTCTCACTATGTGTCACTTAAAAACCCGTCATCAAACCATAGACAATTCATTACCAACCTCAACACCATTTCTATCCCCACTACCGTATCCGAGGCATTGTCAAAAAGAGAATGAAGAAATGCCATGAAAGAGGCGATGGTCGCTCTAGAAAAGAATCAAACATGGTAGATTGTGGATAAACCAAAGGGGAAGAACATTGTTGGTTGTAAGTGGATTTTTACACCTAAGTATAAGGTTGATGGATCACTTGAGAGGTATAAAGCAAAGTTGGTGGCTAAGGGATATACTCGGACTTATGGGATAGACTATCGGAAGACATTTGCACTTGTGGCAAAGATGAACACTATTAGGATTTTGCTATCCCTAGCAAGCACATTTTGATTGGCAACTCGTTACAATACGATGTAAAGAATGCATTTCTTCATGGAGACCTGGATGAAGAAATTTACATGGATGTTCCTCCAGGATTTGAAGAAGAAACAGGGAATAAAGTTTGCGAGGTTGAAAAAGGCCCTTTATGGACTAAAACAATCACCAAGAGCATGATTTGGAAGGTTTACTAAAGTTATGAGAGCTTCGGATACCAATAGAGTCGTGGTGATCATACCCTTTTCATGAGGCACTCATCTACAAAGGGAGTGATAGCACTTCTAGTGTATGTAGATGACATCATCGTTACCGGGAATGATGAAAAGGAAAAATAGAACTGAAACATCGAGCTGGTTAAGGAATTCGAGATAAAGGAGCTTGGTAGATTGAAGTACTTCCTAGGTATTGAGGTGGCATACTCCGAAAGGGGATTTTCATATCTCAACAAAAATATGTGATTGATTTATTAAAGGAGACGAGAAAAATTGGATGTAAGCCAATTTCTACACTCATTGAAGCTAATCAAAAACTCGAAGAAGCCGAGAGAAGAACCTCCAAGTGGATAGAAAAATGTACCGCAGGCTAGTAGGGAGGCTCATCTACCTTGCACATACTCGACCGGACATAGCATACTCTTTAAGTGTAATCAATCAATTCAAGCATGATCCGAGGGAGTCAAATTTACAAGCCGCTTATAGAATGTTATAGTATTTGAAAGGAAATCCATGAAAGGGAATCCTGTTCAAAAGACAAAGGGATCTTGCCCTTGAAGTCTACATCGATGCAGATTATGGAGGATCTTAAATAGATAGAAGATCAACTATCGCTTATTTTATGTTCCTTGGAGGTAATCTTATAACATGGAGGAGTAGAAAACGGAATGTTGTGGCTAGATCATCTACCGAATCAGAATTCAAAGCAATTGCTCAAGGCTTATGTGAGATGTTGTGGCTGAAGATTATCCTAGACGACTTGAGAATCAAGTGGGAAGGTCCTATGAAATTCTACCGTGATAACAAATCTGCTATCAACATTGCTCATAATCTTATACAAAATGATAAGACTAAGCATATTGAGATTGACATGCACTTTATCAAAGAAAAGTTGAAGGATGGATTAGTATGCTTATCTTATGTTCCTACGGGGTATCAACTTGCGGATGTTCTTACCAAAGGGTTGAACGGCTCCAATTTTCATGATAATATTTCCAAGCTGGGAATGAAAGATATCTATTCCTTAGCTTAAGGGGGAGTGTCAAGATGTATATTAGCTGTAAATATGATTATTATTATTATTATTATCTCGCTAGATATTAGGATTGTTAATGTTATCCCTTAATTTGAGAGACTCTAGTAATGATTATCTCTATCCCTAGATTAGGTAGTTTCCTACTCGACTCTAAGACTTATTGTATATATATTCTGATGCATTGTAACCTACGTAAGAGTGAGTATATAATTTTTCCTCTCAATTTTCTTCAACAGAAAGTTAAGTTTCTTTTCTATTACAACCATAATGACAACCACATTGAAGAATTGATTTAGAAGATGCTGAATGCCTTTTTCCAGAACGATGAGAAAAAGAAATTCAGAAAGTAGAAATGCAAAGATACCTAAAATAAGAGGGAAGCCAAGATAAACAGTTATAGTGACCCCAACTTCCACAAAAGTGAGCATATATCATTGCCCATACAGCTGGGGTTCGGAAAAATGCCTTCCATGGCACATCCTGCCACAAAAGAGCCAGTAAGAAAAGTGAGGAAAAATGGTAATAATAAAGTTTTAGGGAAGTTCCTTTCATTTCTATATCAGGTATCATACATAGTTCACAAAAATTGGAAAATAGAAAACCCAATTGTTTAAACTCACGTGAGAACAATCAAGAATATAAGTGAATAGCATTCCTAGTGAACAATGTTTTGAACCGTTTTTTTACAAACATCAGTCAACAAATAATACGTGAAATTCAGGCAGACTTATTCATTTTTGCCATCAAGTATGAATGATCCCCAAGCCTAGTTACTTGGGTTTAACTTACAAATCAGTGAAACATGCCACTCTTCAAGAAGTAATGCATTTAAGATAACATTCATAGCTCAATCAGTACCTTTCCCATCCTTGGAGTTTCCAATATTATATAGGCGAACAAAGAAAAGAAGAAAGCATTGTACCTTCAATGAGCCACCCAACTCTGCCAGCGAATGACTAAATGATTTTTCCGTATAGAAAGATTGGAGCCCTGTCAAATATATCAAGGAAAAGTCCACTCATGACTATGTGGAAAGGATCCCAAGGAAAAACAACATAGTTACTATCAATCATTTTAATGTAGTTCATATCAGTACACCACCTAACAGAGCCTTTCTTAGGATGACCCTCCAATGAAAGGTCCATTCTGCAGTTGGGCATAGAAAACTCAGGAAAACATGCAACTGGTTTAAAAATAATACGCTAACTCCAATCAGAAGTTTTCCCTCCAGTCTCTAGAACAAGACTTTTTCTTCACAACATCGTTCATGTCTAAAAGATTAACAGATTTCTGTAACTTGTCTCCAAGGCAACAATATTGAGCAGTTTAAGTGTAGCCAGTTGACAAGAGATACCGAGTATGCTTTTAATAATATGGAGGACATATTTTTATGACCAAGATGATATTTGGCATATAAAGTGGGTTATTCTTCTGCAAATAAATGAACTGTTATATGAGGCTATCCATACATGAGTGTGTTTCAGAAATGCCATTCATTTAGCTTAAAAATTCTACATATTCTGCTGTGAAATTGCTAAATTTGTATAAATTAGAGAAAATATCAATCATATATGCAATATCAGGTAGATTAACCAAATAAATTTCATCGGAAAGGCAGTGTAGAATAAGGTATTATCAGTATGCCAAAAGAGACGCAAAGGAAGACACGGTATGATTTTGACAATTATATAAAAGTAGTCAACTAATCATCATCTACATACCAATAAAATCAGAAGCTTTATTTGTCAAATCGAGAATAGCAAAAAACAATAGAAGATAAGTGCTTACGTGAAGCAGGCTTGGCAGCATTTGAAGATTGTCCCTCTTCAAGATATTGAAACCCCAAATACCTTCATAGTTTTTAGTGTTGTCACAAGTATAAGGTTAACTTTCAGTCAGTTGCTAACCTTAGCAACTTAAAAGACTTAATACAATAAAATAAACAAATGCAAGTATTAAACAGTGAATTCAGAACCATAGTGGACCAAAAAGCCATAATGTTATCTATGTTATTTAACATTGAACAAAAAGCCTTTTTATGCATTACTAAAGTACGAAATTCCTTTTGTTCAAGGCAGAAGAAGGAAAGCATTGGAATCCATGAGATTAGTGACAGATACTTACCAGGCTAACCCAAGAAAGCCAAACATATAAAATACGGATGGCCAACCAAAATTTTGAATAAGGGGAGGAGCTAAAAGAAGCCTGCATGAACTTTAAATATGTTAGAAATGACTAGCAAATGATACCAGGCACTCACTTTAACTCAAAAAAGCAAACACAGAAAAATGAAAAATAGTCAGCATAGCAAAATTTGTTTATTAAATATGTTTCACAGACCTAACACACTTGATTCTTTCAGGTGCAATTCAACACCAGAAAGATGTAAACTTGTGGTTTTATCCTTATTGACAATCATATAAGTCAATGGGTTGAATACACTCTATGGTCAATTTTTACAGTTAACATTCTGGGTGACTGAATTAAGCGACAAGCAGTTTCCTAAATAGAAAAGAATTTTGCTATTGTACACCAAATTAATCAAAACATACCCCGTAACACTTCCTACGCTTAGTCCCCCAAAGACAAATGCTACAGCTCGTGATCGCTCTTCCAAAGGTATTGACCTGCATGCAGAGTTGGTCAGTGCCAACCAAATGGAGAAAATAACTCTAAATTAGCTCTTAAGCAGAAATTGGCTTTATCCTCATGACAGAAGTTTAAAGAAATATATACAATATAAACAATATAAAGCAGTTAGGCATAAGGCACTATCAGTCAATGAGTTTACAATGTTTAACAAGAGAAAAGGCACAAGTTCAATAGCGGAGAACAAGAAAGCAGGACACAGCCAACTACAAAATAGACAGGACAAGTCTCAGACAGACAATAAGTTAGAGGTGGAGATAGGCAGAGATAGGAAACAGAAGAAAGCCAAGATGAATCTCAAAAGGCAGACATAGGAAACATTAGTGTCTATGTTGAAACATGAATTAATATTATATTTAAGCGATCATTATTGTACACATATATGTAATTGTTAAGAGGTGGGCAGGGCACTCTATTAACCATAGAAAGAGTCCTAATGATCCACACAGCAAAGTTAACTTCCAAATATGCCATAACAAAAACCCTAAGAAGTTTTCCATGAGATACCAATTTTAAATACCCAATAACGAAAAAGTGCAAAGGAAATACTTACTAACAGAAACACATGGAAAAACCAACCAAATACGTACTCAACAATAAAACATAGCAATGATTGATTATGTTTCAGCCAAAGAACATGTAAAAGGTTCACTAAAACATCCTCCTATTGAGCTTCAGATGTCATACATGCCTGGCAATGAGGTCAGTTGCTGCTGATGGGGAAACTCCTTCTCCTATTCCAACCTAGATTTGAAACACATGAGAAATGCTCAATAAATGCAAGAAATTTTTTTTACGCAATTTGACATTGAATAAAGGAACAAAAAAGCATATGCATGAGTATTATGGAAAGACAGAGAGACAGAGACTAAAGAGGTCTTCTTTTTTTTTTTTCTCCCTTGATGAAGAAAACTGCAAAAGCGTTACAGTTTCATGAAAAGGTACATAAGTTGGACTGAAATACTTGTTCAACATAAGGAGTATGGGAGAAGCCACACATACCAAAACCCTTGAGAAGACAAGTCCAGGTATATTTCCAGCAAGAAAAGGAAGAAGAGCTGTAGCCAATGACCATGTCAATACTCCAATCTTAAGAACTTTTCTGCAAAAAAAGAAAAAAAAAAAAGCAGGGATGACGCATGTATCACAGAATTTACACCTAACCAGAAGGCAGGTGAAATGCTTACTTGGAATGCATCAGATCTCTAGAAAATTAATTTTACTCCATAAAACAACTGGTTTCTGGAGTCGTCTCTTTCTGAACTAGAAAGGCTTGAAAGAGTTATATGTCCATTACCCTCAATCTTTAACGAGACCTAGTGTGTCTATTAAAACCATGAACTGCCCAAGTGGAGTCAGCCATATTTCCAGAAATATATACATTTTTACAGCTTTAATGGATCGGGATAATCATGGATTAATCAATCTGGTACATTGAGCTGTCAAGAACACAAAACAATGTACACAGCTTGTACATTTAAGCTCTAGACAGGATGAATTAAGTGCAAAACCTATGGTAATAACAGAAACTGTCTGCCATTCTTATCACCCAAAACTGCTAATAGTTGAGGTGTGAAGCATTTAGAGTTTAGAAAGTCGAATGGAAATGAAGCATATCAATACATCAATGACTATGGCCAGCATCAGCATCAATGAGCAGAAAGTTAGGATCACACTTGAGCGAAAAGTATATTTCTCACTCTTAATGGCGGGCTACTTGAATAGAGCAAATGAATTGATAGAGTTCAGAGACATAAAATTGATTTTTATCAAATCAGAACAACCTCCACCTTTCTTGAGGCAATTTAAGCTCGTAAAAGTAAATATAGCACCCAACCCAAATCTCTCAACTCAACCCAAGACATCAATGCCAACAACTTAAATCAGCTATATAAATCTTTTTTTTCCTGCCATGTTCAATTCTCAGCTAAAGATATTGTGATCGGAAACATCCTTCAGCCAGTAATCAAACATAGAAGATCATTCAACTAAATTTCAATCGAGAGCAGCGTTACTTCACCAGTTATAGGCGAAGTAAATATCCTAGGTAAAATTCTGCACTGAAAGACACTAATATAACCCTTCTCATGCTTCAAAGGAATACATTGCTGGAGTTTTAAAAAAGTAGTTTATTAATGGAAATGACATATTCCTCTAACATGAAATACCATGTAAATAGAGCAAGCCATGAGCAACTAACCTCCCACCAAAAATCTTGGCAAGCCAACCTCCTGGTAACTGACTCAAAGCATATCCCCAGAAGAAAGATGATTGCACTAGCCCAGCCATTGATGCATTCCACCCAAATTGGTGTGACATCGGAATTATTGCGATACTCAAGTTCACCTACCCAATTTAGCAAATTGATCAAAACTTACTTTAGCTAAGAAACAAGACCAAGTAACTAAGTATTAGCAGCACCATAAAAAAATCACTTTTTTTTTTTTTTGTTTCAATCTAACAAGAAAAAACACCAAGGCCTAAAAACATATCAAATTAGACCAAATAGACCACTTACCTTGTCCATATTACAAATAACGAAGGCAAGTGAAGTGGTGCCAATAAGCTTATATCTCAGAGGAACATTCTTCCACGGAGGCCAACCCCAATCAAAACCCACTTCACTAGACCCACTATCATCCCCCAATTTTTGCTCAAAATCCAAACTTGAACCATTCTTGGGGTCCAACTCATCAACTCTTTTTAGTCCAGTGAGTGCATCAGGGACCCTCTCACTTGCTTTGACATTCTCTTTCTCTTTAATACCACACCAAACCCTGAACTTCAAGCTGTTTTTCGAGTGAAAAAAACGTAAAGAATTGTTCTTGGATGAGGTTTGTATGTTTGTGTGGTGTGGGAGAAAGCAAAAGCTCTCTGCTTTGAGGGTCAAGTTTGCCATTTTCTTTTATCGAGGGACAAAAAAGAACTATAATTTCTGTAAGTGAAGTGAATATAAGGAAAGAAAAAGAGTTAGCAGCACAGCATGTAAATGTAACGTATTGAGTTTGTGTTGATACATAAGTAAGTAAAAGGAAGCCATGGGAGCAAGAAAACTTGGCATGTCATTTGCAAGGCCTTGAGGTGGCCACGGAGAAACTGGCTGGTGGCTGTTGTTAGTTAGTGGGACCCACCGGAGTTGTGAGGGCTTTTGACTGTTTAATGAACTTATTTTTGACCAAAAAAAAAAAAAAAAAAATTTGGTTTCAATTTGAATCCTTATAATTTGGTTTATTAGGCAGCAAATGTTCGTTCATAAGAGAGGATACACATATCTGTTTTTTGTAATATTTCTTTTGTTGATTCCAATATAAAAAAATTAAAAAAATAATAATAATTAAAAAAGCTGTTAATTTTTTTTCCAACTTGTTATTTATTTATAGCTAGAAAATTTTTTAATCATTAAAAAATTAGCTACAAAAATAAAAACAATCTACCATAAATTGATAAAAAGTAACTAAAAAAAAATCATTTTTTTTATCTTTTTAAAATAATGTAAAAACGTTTTACAACATAAATAAAAAATGACTATGAATAAATAAAAAGTTCGCAAAAATTTTTAACAATTTTTTTTTGAATTTTGAATTTTTTTTTAAATTTAAACTAATAGAAAGCTAACACATGTCCTTGATCTTCTTTGTTGAGTTGATCATAGATGGAGTGACTTCTATTACCTTAAGAATCAAATCATAAGAATTTAATTGTCTAAATTGAAACTACAAAAATATCTTTTCAAAAAAATCAATATTATTAAAGAGGCCTTTGGTATCATTAAACTAGCTTCTGACTAAGTAAACTATCCAACTTAAAACTATAAATAATTTTATATATTTTCGTTAAAAATTCCTTAATTTTTTTTAATTTTAAAATTTTTTGAATTTTTTTACCCAACATTTTTAAAAGTTATATATTTTTCAAGGAAAACTATTTTTTTATTTCTTAAACTGTTATTAAAAAAATTAGAAAAAATATCTGCTTATTCTTAAAACAAATTTTGAGGATTTTCATTGATAGGCACCTTATAATTAAATGCAATTTAGTAAAATTAAGTTGAATAGATGAAATTTTGTAGAAACAAGGTGGAAAGTTGACCAATATTTCTTTGCTTTTCTTTTCTTTGTTTTTTTATTTATTATTATTATTTTTTTTATAATAAGGATGAATTACACTAATCCTTTTAAGGTATATATGTATCATATAATTATAATGATTACCAAAAAGATTTAACATTTTATAC